TGAGAACTACTTACAGTTTCAGGTATCTACTTGGAGTCTTGAATGTGTCCGTATAATGATCTTTTAAAGAAGTTTAGATATGAAGAGAAGGAAAGAGAAGCTATACAGTTTGGGATGGGTTCTATTTGTTTTAGAAAAGAAAAAACTTGTCCACTTGTACAGGTTGAGAAAAGCAGAGGTTAGAGACACAAGAGGAAGGGAGTTTCTTTTTTTAATGTGTGAAGTAGAACTCTTGATTTTCCTGACAGACTTATTTCTCCCTGTGTCTTTCCAATCTCAGTAATGACACTCCTATCACTGAGTTGCTCAAACCCCAAATCCGAATATGACCTTTTAGTCCTCCCTTTTCTCCTGTTCTCTCATTCCATTTCAGGAGCACCTGGGAATGTTGGGAGAGAACCTACATATTCGAGTGATCTAAGAGCCTCACACTGCTTTTGGAGGCCCTCCCAGAGCAGAATTTTAAGAGCCATGTAAGCTTGTAAATGTGTGCAAGGGTAACAGTCAGTGTCGTGAACAGAGCAAATGTCAGCCTTAAACAGCTAACTAAACTATTTCCCCCCCAATTGTTGTTTTGCTGTTGTTGTTAAATTAAAACCCAAGCACAAGAGCTCTACCACTGAGCCACACTCTCAGCCCAGAACTTTAGGTGATTAAAAACAATATGTTGGTTTCAGTACTGCATTTGGAATTAATGACAAGAAGCATCAGCCAAATGGTGCAAACTGATAGTGGAGGTATATGTAGTCCTTCTTCATAACAGCTATTAATCCTGGTAGTTTCCCCCAAGTTCTCTGGTAAGGAAGAAACAGGATTAGGTTGTTGTCTACTAAGGAGGACAATGTGTGAAAGAAATTAGCCTTCCTTGAAAATCTGTTAGATTTCGAATGTGAGTGCATGGAATATCCCCGTTCTGGAGGAGGCAGTGGTTTGGTATAAGGGAAGAAGCTGCGGCGAGTGAGTGGGACGACCCAGGCCACGGGATCCTAAACAGACCCAGAGCGCAGGCCCGGCCAGGGAGTGAGACGACCCAGGCCGTGGGATCCTGAACAGACCCGGAGCGCAAGCCCGGCGAGTGAGTGAGACGACCCAGGCCGCGGGATCCTGAACAGACCCAGAGCGCAGTCCGGTGAGTGAGTGAGACGACCCAGGCTGCGGG